CGGCGAGCTTCAGGCGAGAGAAGACAGTCTCGAACGGTGGGAGAGGAACCGTGTCGCCGAGCACGACGCGAATGGTGTCTTGGCGTTTGTCGATGCCGTGAAGAAACTGAGTGATGAGATCCACTTCAGTGACGGCGTGCTCAATGTCGGCCAGCCCGGCGGTGAGGAGCTTCATGCGACGAGCATACTCGACGACGGAGAGATCCCCCTGTTTGAGGTTGCGGTATTGGCGGTTCAGCATCATATAGCGCACCGCACGGTTCGCCAGGAAGTAATCGCGGATGCGGTGCCAGAGATCGTAGGTGGTGGTAGCGCCGACGACGTGGTCGACGAGGTTATCGGCGAGGGTGGAGTAAATCCAGAGCACAAGATGGGCGTCGAGCTCGCGCTGGAAGGCGGTGGCATTGGCCGGGAGGGGCTGCTCGATGATCTGGGCGACGCCATAGCGGATGAGAACAAGGAGGAAGAAGGACTTCCATTTGTGGTAGTTGTGCTCGTCGGGGTTGAGGAGAAATTTGATATGGTTCTGGATGCTATCGCGGAAGATGGGGTGGTTGGACGGAGCGGCGACGAAAGAGGGCGGCGGCGCCGTGGAGGGGGAAAAGAAGGGGGCGAACTGTGATACGAGGGAGGGGGAAGATCCGCTGTGGGTGGAGGGGAGGGTACCAAAGATGAGGGGAGGGGAGGTGCCGGCGGTGGTGCCGGCGCCGGAGGAGCTGGAGAGAGCTGCCGGTGAGGTGGCTGAGCTGGTGGCCGGAGAGGTGGCGGAGGAGGTGGAGGGCTCAGCCATGAAGAAGGCACCCGGAGTCTGATACCAAGTAGGACGATGAATTCAGTCTGTATATTCCGGCATCACACAATGTACAGCATATATAGTGCTGGAGTGGTTACAAGAGAGCCCGAAGGAAGTGGCACGCAGGCCCGGGCGAGATCTATGATCCTATATACTAGGAATACAAGTACATACAGTTACACAGGTATAATACACGTTAACACTTCGATGGGGTATAGCACCGTGCCCCTGTCCCACTGTCGTAGTATTTGAACAGAATAAAGCAATTATTCATACTGCATTTGAATTGCATGCTCATCACCAAAGCAGTACAATCAGATGTAACTCAAAACTACCCGGGGGTGAAATAAAAAATTCTTGTGAACACACCAGTCACACGACATGTATTTCATTCCTAAAGATATATCAACATGAGCATAGGGATGCGGAAGAATGAACCACCATAGTACCAGATATCTACTCAAACAAGGCTCCAGCTGCGTAATATCATCAAGTGGATACAAAAAGGCTAGGTAGGAAAGTATACAAATTTTAGTTAAGCAGCCAGTACAAGCTTAGCTAGGCATACGCACAAAAAACAACCAAAACTGAACAAGCCAAAACTGAACAAGCGCATGCTCAAAAAACTAAAAACTACCGCAATATTACTTTTTAGTTGACAATTCACAGATTTTGCTACTGAATAGTATGTGTACTAGGGGATTCTTGTTAGAAGCACAGGTGCACATTTAGAATTCCATTTCACTCGAATTTTGATTATACTACTTCCAAGATTCTTTGATGCCTACTCCACCACCAAGGCACCAACTGCTTAATATATACTGAGAACACCAATGCAAATTATAACCAGTCAGAACTTAGCCACCAGAAAATACAAGCATAACAAGTCACAAATCACAAGAGATTGTGCAATAAAAGAAATGGTAAATAAGAAAAATTAGCATTCTCAAAAAGAAGAGACTGTGCAGCAACAGTAATGGAAAAACAAGCAAGTTGCTATTGGCAGTTAGCAGATCTTGCTAGTAAAACGGTAATATGCATAGAGGGATTCTTGTTAAATGCAGAGGTGCATGTTTGAATATTCAGTTCATTCAAAGTTTACTATAGTTACTTATCCAGGCACAAAAAGTGGGAACTAGGAGTCCTGGTTTCTCTCGACAAATGACAAATAAAAATTGGTTAAGCACCAAATGCAGCATATATAGCAGTGTTCAACAGAAAGTGTGCAGCAGATGAAAAATCCAAACTTCCATAAAACTCATCAGCTCACCATCGCACCGATAAATTTCAGTACATCTGAATATCTCTATGCGAATAACCATTAATGAATACAGAATAAATAATCATTCCAATTCTCAATGCCAGCTAGCCCTCCAAAGTATTTGATAATGGTTAATTCACACCCATGAATTGTCAATCATTTCCTCATATGCGATGACAGCCAACTGCAAGGAGTACTTCGCTACTGATCATCAAGTTGAGGTCCATCATCAACAACTAAAGAAGGAGGCCAGGCGATAATGTAGGGATAGCCGCGGTCATCATACCTCCCCTGAATCAGCAAGTCAATCTTCATAGTCTGCAAGGAAAGGAAGAAAATAGAAGCAGCGGAGTGGGCCAACAAGGGACATCACTTTCATTGGAGATCCAATCCTTAACTTGCAACACTTTGATCTCCCTGCAAGCCCAGCCCTCAATTGTGCCCCGACGCCCTCACTTGAGATGGTAGATCCACAATGGCGATATCCATGGTGGTAGTGTTGACCCTTACCATGCGTGCTTCGCCTTGGATAGGCCAGTAAACGGAACCATCAACCAGCGCACCAGACTTGGCCATTATGCTGTATAAGTCTGCACCAATTTCTTCAGTCCCCAGTGGTGGTCACATGCTGGTTAACATTTGAGGAAGCATAGGCTTTCCTACACACCCTTATCTAGCCATCCATTTCTGCATCGCGATCTGTGCAAGTACTTTTGTCTTTTTGTTTCTCCCAATATATAGAACAACATATGAACTTCAAACTTTACAGGACAACAAAATATTCTTACTAGAATGTGAGAAAAAACTTTCAGATTTTTTCGTTAATCATATATAGTAAATATTCTACTTTTTACTTAAAAATCATTTTGTATATTAATGTCAAACAAAAAATCTGAAAGTTTTTTCCCCACATTGTAGTAAGAATGTTTTGTTGTCCAGAAAAGTTTGAATTTCGTATGTTGTTTCATTTTGGAGAAACAGAAAAGAGAGAATGTAATGTAGTAAGTTAGTTGGGTAGCACAGATCTTAAAGCAATATTGAAAGATAAAGATAAGAAATGTCCGAACTTCAAAAAAATCCACGTTCGTCACATGCTCGCCTTCGCTGGCCATTGCTACTGGGGCTGCTCGTCTCTGCGCTTCACTTGGTTGCTTCAGTCCCCACTCCCCAGTGGCTGGCATTTTAGCCATGGACAGAAGCGTTAAGAGGAAGATGCCCACAACAGAATCAACTACAAAACATTTTTTTTATCCTACAAAAAAACTGTACTAACGGCAACACAAAAAAAAAATCCAAAACAACTGGAATGGAAAAAAAAAGATGCAAGTGGACGTGTTTGTGGTTACAACTAACGGCAATTTTGCAGGCAGACTTTGATGCAGTTTCCACCTATCTGAACCCATAGGTGAGAATTTCCTGAAATTCAAATCTCGAGAGTGAAATCACTACTCATCGAGAAGCTTCAACTCACCATATCACTGAATGTTCTGAAACGACAGTAGATTACACGGTTCATGGCAATTGGCAAAGCAGCAGACTCACTATATCATTTCGAGCATTCACCACTCACTACCTGAGACAATCTGGCAATACATACTTCCTACAAACCAATCAAATCAAATGCATCTGGTCTGGTTCCCAACTTTACACCATCAGTCAACATAAATGCATTCGACAACGAGCACGCGACTTTGCAGTTACCGGTCCGCCCACAGGTTCTCCTCCTCTTCGCCAAAAACCCAAACCTCCCCTGCTGCTGTTGCGTCACAAAAGCAACATGTTAATCTACATCAAATCAGCGTCTTAATCTTGAGCAAACTCTACCCTTTGGTGCAATGCTTCAGGATGTAACTTGTGCAATTCTACTCTTTCTAAAAATTACTCCCTCCGTCCCAAAATAAGTGGCTTGAGCTTAGTACAAATTTATACTAGAGCTAGTACAAAGTTGAGACGCTTATTTTGGGACGGAGGAAGTAATAACCAAGAAACATAACAGCTTTCTTGCAATAAGGTGGTCCTATACTCCGAAGAAACTGTGTTAAAAAAATATACCCCGAAGAAACTGAGCATACAACAACTTTGGTGATTGCAAAATCAGTTTTCTTGCAACAAGGTGATCTTATACAACAACTTTTCAAAAACTGAACATAAATTGCAGGTAATATAGAGCAAAACAGTACCACCGAGTTACGCGGATGCAGAAAGATTGCAACAAACAATAATTACTTTCAGAACTCTTCGATATCCAGTCAACAAAGGCCAAAGGGACCAACTGCCTAACATTGTGAAGTGAAATAGAAGTACAACAAGCAGCAGGTAACTACGCCAACCATTAAAGTTAGGCCAGGAACAAGCTAAAAAATAATTAAGCACTTATAAGCTGATTTATATTATTAGCCGAGCGCGCAAGAAAGAACAACAAAGGTTGAAAGACAAGAGAATCTGCAGCCTAAAAGATGAAGAGATTGTGCGGCAAAAAGAACAAGAAGTGTATCAAGGGATTCTCGTTAGAATCACAGATGCATATCTGAAAGTTGATTTCATTCAGAGTTTATTACAGTTACTTTCCAGAACTAGCTGTCCTGTGTTTTCCTTCTCTATAAAAATGATAAACACAAACAGAAACGGTAGAAAAAATTAATCAATTGGGCCTGGCAGCAAACAAAACATAGCAGTATTCCATATATAGAAAATTTGCAGCAGATGACAATCCAATCTTCAATAAAATTCATTAGCTCCAGAACTGTACCAACGGTTATCAGGCATCTAAAGGTTTTCTATGAGCATAGCCATTACTTATTAAGATACAAAGGCACGATCTTCCAGTTTTCAGTGCCAACTAAGCAGATATTATTTTGCATCAACAAAGTAATTTATAATGCTAAGCTCCTCATACCTGCAAATTTGCATTAATTTCCTCTTAATTATGACGAACAACTGCGGATTTCAGCGAGAACCTTCAACTTCATGCCCAGTGCCCCCATCATCACCAATCAAACAAGGAGGCCAGGCCATAACGTATGGATAGGCAGAGTCACCAAATGTCCCGTGGATCAGTGACTCAATCTTCATGGTCTCCAATGAAAGGGATAAGAACCAGCAGCGGAGTATGCCAACAGGGGTAATGCATTTCATGGACAAGTAGACATATCCAGACCTAACTTGCACAACCCTAAGGTGGCCCAGCCAGCCCCGAGTGACCCGACCAATTTCTACACTCAAAGAGAGTATGTTCTGCGGCACCCAAATCCCAATTCCATCACCATCCACAACACGGATCCAAACATGGAGCAGGAAGTCATCATGAGATGCATAGACAATGCATAGCTGGCCATCACTAGTCTCCCCAGCCTTGTAATTGCACCTCTCCACATCCACCTGCAAGGGTAGATCCACATTGGTGATGTCCATGGTGGTGGTTGTGTTGATCCTTATCATGTGGTGTTCGCCATGGAAAGGCCGGTAAACGGAACCATGGACCAGCATGCCAGCATTGTACTTGAGGCTATTGTCACCACCGATTTCGACCCCCGGGTGGATGACCCAACCTCATGTCTCCGACGAGAAGACGGCAGCACGAACCCTAGACACGTCGGCGCAGACGCAGACCACCCAGAACGACCAGGTGTTCTCCTCACAAGACAGCAGACGGGAACCAAGCCAGGCGAAACCACGGAGACACCCTTCCCTGGCATCCTCAGGCAATGGGATGATGTCCACGGCCCAGGTCATGGGGTTCACGGCGGCGACGAACATCATGTTCCAGTTCCACAGGAGGATGTAACCATCGCGGCAGTCCACGATGCCCCAGCCCGTGTATGCGCCGTCCTGTCGCCGTGGCGGAGGGCGGCGGCGACGTCGGGATCTGTGCGACGCAGGGGGGCGAAGGAGGGGGCGGCATCTTCGCTGACTTCGAGGAACAGTCCGAGGAGTGGCGCCGGGTGGAGGGCACGGAAGAGGCGGCGGAAGGGCCGGGAGGAGCGGACGGCGCCGAGCCACGAGCGGCAAGTGAGCGTCGCACGGACGAGCGCCGGCAGGTTGGGCAGGCGGAAGAAGATCTCGAGGAGCTGGTCCTGGCCGAGCGAGGATATGGTGGTGGTGGTTCCGTCGCCGCCGCCGGCGGCGGTGGTGGCCGTGGACGCAGCCGGCGGCGGCGGCAGTTGGCTACCGATTGCCGGAGACTCGACAGTTGGCTACCCAAGCCCACTATAGGCTTAATAATGCTTTGAGCCCATGTACGCTATAGTCCAAATAAATTATGAAAATACATTGCCTCAATGTTTTTATGAAAATACATTCTTCTCAAAAAATTATGAAAATAAATTGCCTCAATTTTTTTAAAATTCATCATTTTTTGTGGAAATTATAAAAATATATCTGACGATGGATATATTGATATTCATTTGATATTGTTTACCTCCATATTCTTTTATAGGAGTATCTGTTTGGTCAAACTTAAAAGGCATTGATTTTTTTTCACTCAATTTATTTATACGTCATCTATTTGGGGATAGAGGGAGATTTTCTACAAAATACAGTGGGAGGTCTTCTCAACAAAAAAGATTGCAGTGAGAGATGAATCTTTATGGGCTGAATATAATCATCAGGTCATGATAAAAAAAAACCAGACGGTTATTTGCATGTTAAATGTTGAGCAAACAGAATGTTCCGACGAGTAATAAGCAAGCAAATGTGGCTACAAAATCAGTACACTTACAACCTCTATGATGTTTTGGAATGCCGAGTTGTGACTGATAGAATACAAAGTACACAGGGCAAGTGATATGAAGCTGATATATGTATTCTATAACACTATAATATGATAATATTGATATACTACTCCTTATCAAATATGAAGTTCATATTTTTACAATTTGGAGGCCATCACAGTCCACTCCACACATATGCTAAGTTCTGTGCGTGATCATACATTCGCACAGACAACATAGATAACGGCAAAACCCCCTGATTTCATCTTCCACGCAAAGGTGAAGCAACATATAAAACGCTCCCCCAAAAAATCGATGATGAAACGGCAAAACCCCCTGATTTCATTTAATTTCAAACCATCAACTTTTAGTTATGACGTGTTCGGTAAATGTTGGTTTCCTGAAAATGCCAATGGGGCATTTTGCAAGAGTCACAACGTTGCTAAGCCAGGAACAAGCTAGAGGTTGTGGTGGTGCGAGGTGGTCGCGGCGCTGAAGAAGAAGGGGCAGAGACGGTGTACCAATAACTCTGCCCACGGGTGACAGTGGATGGCTGCTCGGCGTATGCCAGAGGGCAGGTTGACAGGTACGGGAGGAGGAAGATGACAGTAGACTGACATGATTTTCCCCAGGAACAATCTAAAAGGATGAAAGTATGGCGGATTTGTGGTTACAGCTAGTGTTAATTTTGTGGGACAAGCAGCCTGCCCTGAACCACGATCCAATGGCAGAGAAGCTCCCGTATCACCTGATAATATACACTCCCTGAGATTCCCCATCTATCAAAAGATGCATAGGTGAGATTTCCTGCAAATTCAAATCTCTGTGAGTGAAATCACTACTACTCCCCTGAACCCGTCTGCACCCATTCTGAAATCTTTGCCATATAATGTTGTGCTACTTGAATATAACATACTGTATTAAATACTCCATATAATGTCTGTGTATGTCAGAAGGCAAATGTGAAACGGTGTGCTGGAATCTCTTGTGAAACATGGAATGAACGCTACCTTGGATTGCCTGTGTATGTGGGACGATCACGCAAACATGTTTTTGCATACATCAAAGACGCCATCTGGAGATGAATGCAAGGCTGGAAGGAGAGGCTCCTAGACAAGGTTGGGAAGGAAGTGCTTGTTAAGGCAGTAGCGCAGGCCATCCCGACATATGCCATGTCATGCTTCTACCTCACAAAAACTCTCTGTGAGGAGATAAGTTCACTCATTGCCAAATTCTGGTGGAGCTAGCAGGATAATGAGTCAAAAATACATTGGATTGGTTGGCCAAAACTGACAAAGTCCAAGGCGCTCGGAGGTTTAGGCTTCAGAGATATCCACTCCTTCAATATTGCGATGATGTCACGTTAGATATGGCGGTTGATCCAAAGGCCGGAGAGTCTATGTGCACAATTGCTGAAAGCCAAGTACTACCCAGATGGCAATATTTTGAACGAAGCACCGAAGGACGGCATATCTTACACTTGGAGGAGTAGGCTACATGGACTGGAGCTGATAAAACAAGGTTATATTTGGCGCATTGGGGATGGACAAAAAGTTAACATTTGGGTGGCTGCCAAGAGCGTGGTCACGACGAGTCCAAACACCCAGGAACGGGGTCCTGCTTGACAAGGTTCATGAACTCATAAATCCGCTAACAGGGTAGTGGGATGAAGACCTAGTGAGGGATATCTTCGTTCCCCAAGATGCGACCATGATTCTTGGGATGAGACGGCATGCAAGACTTCATTGCATGGCATTATGATGAGAAGGGGTGCACTCAATTAAACAGGCATATAAACTGCATGTCAAGATGCAGGAGATAACGAGTGATCTAGAGGCCGGCAGGAACGATGATCTGCATGGATCGCTTAATGCTTGTGACAATACTTATTAGAGCCGGATCTGGAAGATGGCGTGCCAAAGTAAGATCAAGATGTTCACATGGCGGCTGGCTCACAACTCGCTTGCTACCCGTACCAACCTAGTGGCGAGGGGGATGGAGATCGAGGACACTAGTTGCCCTCTTTGTGCCAGGAACGCCGAGGATGGTGGGCACCTTTTCATAAGATGCAAGGAAGTGAAAGGGGTGTGGCGCGCCATGGGAATGGAAGCTGTGAGAAGTGATCTGGAGAGATATAACTCAGTGGGCGATGTCATGGATCACTTATGGTCGCTGAAGATGGAGGACAGAGTGCAAATTTTGCACTGCTGGTGGGAGTGGTGGAATGAACGGAACAGGTCTAGGAAGAATGAAAGAAGAATGCGGCCATAGGAGATTGTGCACCGGACCAAGCTTGCCACCATGGAATATTGGGATATTGTGGGTAAGCAGAAACAACAAAGCCCTAAGGAGAAGATTAAATGGCGGGCACCGGAATACGACATCCTCAAGCTTAACATTGATGGAGCACACATGCCGGGGAGCCCCCAATCTGCATGGGGGGTCATTGCCCGAGACCATACAGGGGACGTGGTGGCTTGTATGGCTGGGAAGAGTGAGCATGTCTACGATGCCTTCGCAGCTGAACTGCAAGCAGCCGCGGCTGCGGTGGAACTAGCCACACACCTTGGAGCAATCAGAATCTGCATTGGAACTGATTCATAGCTACTGCAGGCGGCACTCATGCAAAAGGAGCCAAGCTTCACGGCGTATGCATCGGTCCTGGAAGATCTGAAGGTCCAAATGAGGCTATGGTTCTCAAAGTGTGAAGTTTCTGCATGCAGGAGAGAGGCCAATAGTGCTGCGCATGAACTAGCTAAGCTCGGGTATGATTGTAATGTGAATGAATCCACTGTTTGGGATGTTAATGTTCCGCCATTTGTGGCTGGACCTGTACTAGGCGATTTGCCAAACTTGGTTGCGTAATAAAGCAATTGCTTTGACACTCAAAAATCTGTAATGTTCCACCACACTTGTAGACATGCAAAGAACAATCTGTAAAAATAATAATTTTATATATTTCTACAGCTCTGAAAAATATGAAAATTTACCACATACTATAGCTACTGTGTCAAAATTTCAGAAAATTGTGGCATTCTGGATATTCAGGAATATTCACGCAACAACAAACCTGCCGAACGTTACTTGTGTGTTTTCACCTTCCGTGAAAGGGGTCACACTTCGAAGTTGCGCATTGCCTCTTTAATCTTCCCACCACACTTTAAGACATGTACGAGGATCCAATGCGATGTTTTTGTGGCATTGCTACCCCCGAAGGTGAAGGAAATATGCCCTAGAGGCAATAATAAAGTTATTATTTATTTCCTTATTTCATGATAAATGTTTATTATTAATGCTAGAATTGTATTAACCGGAAACTTAGTACATGTGTGAATACATAGACAAAACAAAGTGTCTCTAGTATGCCTCTACTTGACTAGCTCGTTTATCAAAGATGGTTATGTTTCCTAACCATAGACATGTGTTGTCATTTGATGAACGGGATCACATCATTAGGAGAATGATGTGATGGACAAGACCCATTCGTTAGCTTAGCATTATGATCGTTACAGTTTCATTGCTACTACTTTCTTCATGACTTATACATTTTCCTCAGACTATGAGATTATGCAACTCCCGAATACCGGAGGAACACCTTATGTGCTATCAAACGTCACAACGTAACTGGGTGATTATAAAGATGCTCTACAGGTGTCTCCGACGGTGTTTGTTGAGTTGGCATAGATTGAGATTAGGATTTGTCACTCCGTGTATAGGAGAGGTATCTCTAGGCCCTCTCGGTAATGCACATCACTATAAGCCTTGCAAGCATTGTGA